CAGAAGAGGGGGAGGCCTTCAACGAGATGGATTGATACGGTGGCTGCGATGATGGGCTCAAGTATAGCAGGGATTGCGGGGCTGGCGCGGGATCGGGCAGTGTTTCGTTCTGCTGTTCATGGGGTCGCTATGAGTCGGAAACGACTCGACGGCACTTAACAACAACAACAACAACAACATCGTTTAATAGCAAAGAATTGGAAACTAAATACCTATCAAAAGAAACCTGGTATAGTCAGATAATGAAGCACAAGCCATATAGCAGTAAACAGGAATAAACCAGAGCTACCTGAACAAACATAGAAGCCATCCAGGTAATTCTCTGTGTTTCATCTACTGCACCATAAGTCATAAAACTAGTTTTCCTCTCCAGCTCACAAGGCTGGATTTGAAACGCAAATGGGGCAATGCATTTGAGAAATTTTTAAGAGGTGGAAATCATTTTTGAGAATTAAGGGCAAAACCTCCACATAGTAGAAATGAAATCCATCAGTAAATAAGCCAACCAGATCAATTTGTCACTCTCTTGTCATCACTGATTCTAAAGCTACATCAACCTTAACATGGGTGAAATACTGATTTTATCAATTCCTAAATGATGGCATTTAAAAAAAAAAAACAAAACCCACTGCTATCAAGCTGGATTCGACTCACAGTGACCCCTTCTTGGGTTTTCAAGGCGGTATGGCTACAGAAGCAGATCACTCAACCTTCCTTTTGAGGAGTGGCTAGTGGGTTTGAACTACCAGCCTTCTGGTTAGCAGTCAAATGCCTTGGCAGTATGCCACCGGAGCTCCCCAATAATGGCACATGGACAGGCATTATCACTATCAGAACTATATTTCTTCACCTTAATTCTTCATCCAGGAACTGAAAATCATAATACCAAAACAAAACAAGAGTACCGCATTGAAAAGTACTCCCAATTAACTTAAACATAGCCAGAGTAACTGTTGCTTATACGGTTATCACTGCCCTTTCTGTAGTGAGCAGGTGCATATTTTATTAGCCCTATTATTACAGATGGAGAAACTGACTCAGATGTGGAATAGCTTGCCGGGAGTTGTACACCAATTCAGGGATAATACTTGAAACAGACAAAGCGCTCACTAAGCTACTAAAAACATTGTTTTACCAAGATGCTTGATGCTAATTATGTTTGTCATAGGAACCAGAAAATTCTTTGTTAGTTGTCATTTCATACAAATTTCAAAATGGGCAAAGATACTCAAGGAAACAAATCACTTACTAACTACAGTACCGCACACCAAGGGACAGAATTAAAACTGCCTAGCCTGCTGAAAATCTAATCCTGTCTTTGCCAATTAACCTTATTAGTCCTAGAGTAGGAGAAAAGACAGGTCAAAACATGGTTGAAGGAGCTAATTCATTTTCTCCTGGATCTCAAATAATACATCAATTTTCGTATGACAGGGATTTTATTACTCTTAACACTTGAAACATGGTGACGTCTATAGTACTTCTTTAAGCAAAGCCTCTACCCTACACCAAGAAACAATTTACCAACAAGCAGAGTTGGGTAATACCAAATTAGAACGATGGCAATCATGTTAATTATCAAAATATTGGCTACGATTAGATATTACACATGTCACCCCACTGACTTCATGTTATAAAAACATGAAGAAACTACTTTTTATGGAGAAAAGCTCATATTATTGCAAATTTCCCTGTTAATGCAAACAGATAAATGCCATTACATGTACCTGACTTTCTATTCAGAATCATTAGATAGTTTCAAATGCTGACACAAGATCTCCAAAATTCTTGTTTATTGGCAGCTTAAAGGAAAAATTATCCTATGGACCAAGTATATTACAAAAAATACTAAACAGGGATACCTTTCATAAACTAACACTAAAAAAATTTAAAGGTCACCCTCACTGTATTGTTATTGATCCTTTTGCTTACCAAATCCATTGTGGGTTGACTTAAATTAAAGCATCGTTTAAAAAAATTGTGCGATTCTGGTGTTGGCAGAAACTCACTAGGGCTCTGAACATTTTCTTAAAACAAACAAACAAGAAACCCGAGGTTAAACAGTCTCTTCTACGCAAAAGTCCTCCACACAGCACAATCTAATTTGACAGAACTTTCTTTTTTAGGGTCAAAAGTATTTCAAACAAAACTAATTTTCTAATTCAGAAACTATTCCACAGGAACTTACCCTAGAGTTCTAAAACAGATCAGATTAAAGTTCAACTATCTACAGAAAAAGAATCCTACGACTGCTAGACCAGAATACACAAATGAAGCACGGTGCAGATTCAATCTAAAATGTGGCTGGCAGAGATAAGAACAATCAGGAGAAAAGCTTTTAGGCACCCGCGAATCTCACACTGAGGGAGGGGAACGTGAACCTGACCTAACCTTTTCCTCCACCAGGAGAAAAGCAAAGAAGTGTGAAATGAGACTCTTCCCAGCCAGGAGAACCCAAGACCAACTGTCCGTCCCTTCCCCGCCCCCAGACTCCAGCAGCCTCAAGGATCACAGGGACTCTCTTACCTCTCCTGTTCACTGAACCAACAGAGAATCCTCTCAAAATTACAGACCCGATCAGGGGTGCCTTCCCGGCCTCTCTCCCGCGCGGTGAGGGATCCCGGTCGCCAACAACAAAGACGCCTCCTGTTCCCCTCCCCCAGCCCGGCCCCAGCTCGTCCCTCCCGCGCTGCGGCTCCGGGCCTAGCGCCCCCTTTCCGAGCCCGGCCGCTGCAGCAGCCGCAGCTCCCCTGGCCCCCCGCGTCCCCACGCACCTGCACCTGAGGGGCCGGAGCCGAGGCGCCGGGCAGAAAGGAACGAGAGACAACCTCTGCCGATACGCTGTCCTCCAGAAGGCAAGATTCACGCTCCTACCACCGCCGGCCTCTCCCCGCTGGCAGACAAGCCCGGCTGAGGAAAGGGGATGAGGGCTGCAGCCCCCGGCGCCGGGACAAGAAAGGACGGCGGCGCCCGAGGGGGCCGGGCTCGCGCTCCCGGGTCTTGCTTCGCACCGGCCCTGCTCCTCCGCTCGAGCTCGCGTTCTGCTGACTAACGGCCTCGGAGGGAGGCGCTGGAGCGGCGGCGGCTGCCGCCGGCTGCTCTCGGGCCTCACGTCCCGCGCGGCCGTGGTCGCAGCCGCAGCCGCCGCCGTCACCGTCACCTCCCTTTCTGGCACTGCAGAAACCACCCAGACCTAGCCAGGTCTTTCTTCTTTTTAATCCTTCCTCTTTTCTTTACTGCTCCTCAGCCTACTAACCGCGGCGGTCGCTCCCGTAACGGGAGGGAAACTGGAAGAGGACCGAGGCTGGTGGGGGAGCACAATCTTCACTATGCCAGGAGTTGGACACTGACTACAGGAAGGTGCCAAAGCTGACCCGGGTTCCAGGCTGCAAGCGGGCGGGGGCAGGGACAGAGCCCAGCCTAGCCCGACTTCCACCAATCACAAGCTGCCCAGCAGAGTCCGTCGCATTCCGAATGCCGGGGAGAGGCTGAGCAGACTCGGTAGGAGGAGGGGATTGCGGAAAAGAAGAGCCAATAGGAGCAAGGGCTCCCCGCCCCTCTGCCTTGATGGATAGCCACCTCCGGACCAATAGGGCAATTCTCATTTCGAAGAAAGCGGGACTTGTTTGCCTGGTTTGAGAAAGAGGCTGCGTTTAGGGGGAGGAGTCGAGGCTGTGCCTTGTGGAGGAACCTTGACTGAGCAAATGGGTCGAAGGATGTCCTTTGACCTCCGCATGAAGTCACGTCGGATTGCTGGAGGCGGGGCGGAAAGGACGGGAAAATTACTTCCGGGTCTTGGCAGTAAGTGTACACTGTCTGCTAGTGCTTCGTTTTCTCTGCAAGTTTCTTGTCCCGGAGCGAGGTGGTCGTGGTTTCAGCGATGAGTTCTCAGAAGGGGAACGTGGCTCGTTCCAGGCCTCAGAGGCACCAGAATACGTTTAGCTTCAAAAATGACAAGTTTGATAAGAGTGTTCAGACCAAGGTAGGAGCCCGCCTGTTGCACTGAATCTTGACTCCAGGAAGGAATAATTCAGGAAAGGGGGAAGAGAGGAAATGAGAGGAATTGGCGAGGGCGAGTGCGGACCGCAGCCCAGAATTAGTCTTGTCTGCAGTGCAGTCCTTTCTAAAATAATTTTTTCCCATGCCCTTTCTTTGACCTGGATATGTTGTCTCTGAAAATACAGCGTTTAACAATTAATTGCAAGAAGATTCACGAGACCCCCTTCAAACCTAATGTGTAAATGGAGAAGCTGAGTCGTTGAACACTCTCACCCGCATCGCATATTTGCAATACGAAGACAAGCGTTATGGCGCGAGTATCTCTATCAGATTTTGCACCAAGTTTATGCAACCACTGTTTCTTTTTGAAAAATCTTAAACTCTTAAGTTTGCAATGAGAAGGAAAGTGATTAAGCCCTTAGTCTCAGTGTCCTGAATAACACAAGAATGGCAATTTTTGTCTTGTTAGATTGTTTTGAGAATCAAATTATTTGATTAATGAAAAAATGTACTGTTATTATTGTTACAGTTATTGTTAATAAGTTTTTTGTACAACCCTGCTAAAGAAGTAAATTCACAGTCTAAATAGAAGTCTTAGATTGTGTATAACCTACTAATTTGCTCAGGGTGTCTACTTTCCCCCCCAAAAGAAAATGAAGACAGAAATTCTAGGGGCCAGCATACGAGATAACCTGATAATCACATAAACTGGAGTTCAAATGTAGTAGATGTGTGGCCTACAGCAAGTTATTGGTATTTAATCTCTTTGAGCTTTACTTTGGTCTCAGATGAAAAATCTAAGGTTGTTGTGAGGGTAAACAAAATGTATGTAAAAAGACGTGGATAATAATAGGTGTTCAACAAATGACTAATTCCGCAGTGTTGTGATTATGAGAGCAGAACAGTGTACTTATAGTAGCCTGTAGTCTCTTGTCTTTACCTTTCCGGTTTCTAGGTACCTTCACTTACTCCACAGAATTTTAACAAGCTCTTAACAATGATTGAAGGGGCTCTGGTGGCCCTGTGGTTAAAGCATTGGGCTGCTAATCAGGGGATCAGCGCTGCAACTGCTCTGCTGAAGAAAGATGAGGCACTCTGCTTCCACAGAGAGTTACAGCCTTGCAAACCTTATGAGGCAGTTCTCTTCTGTCCTGTAGGGTGAGTCGGAATCCACTTGATAGCAATGAGTCTGTTTTTTTGGTTTAACAATGATTGGGGCCCTATGCTCATGAGTATACAGTGTTAGAGTTAGCTCTGCCCTCACAAAGACTATGTAGTTTTCTGTTTCATACAGACAGTAAGCAAGTAGAAAGGTATATAATTAAAAATTTTGATAAGTGCTGATGAAATGAAAGACGGTTCTGTAAGGAAGAATAAGGAGGGATATTTTAAATTGGATACTCATACTTTGTTTTCTCCTACTAGAGAATTTGCAGAAAGAAAGCAACATTGGGAAGAAGACTCTCTCAAGTTTTCACCTAATATTAATAGATGTCTGCATCTTACTCGTAAGCTTTTGGAAAAGCATTTAGTTCTGATTGTTTTTCATCAGATAATAGAAAGCAGTTTTTTCTTTATTTCCCTCTGTGGTGCTTTGGAACTGAACCCACAATATCTGTGGCATATGCCTCTACTGTTTTTCCCTTCTCTTTCACTCTCATCCTTTTGTTCTAATAGAAAGCAGTTTTAATAAGTATTTAAATGCAGTGTAGTTTTTCCTTAAAATTCTTGAACTAAGAATTCTTGTACTTTGTGCATTTTTTTATGTCATTGAACAAACCTGTCATTCTGTTCTTAAATGTTTTCATGAGCCATAAATTCAGTCACTACAAGTTTAATTTTGTTTGTCACATTTACTTTGAATTCTTTTCCCTTTTTTAAGTCATGGAAATGTCGCATTTGTTGATCAGTAGGACCGTCAGAGTACTGGAGGTTCTGACAGAGACCGCAAGAAATGTGTTACTGAGGAAATGTAATTAGATTGTCATCTATCTAATAGAGAACTAATAATTGGCTTTGTTCATAGCAGATTCTTGAACCAGCTATGTACAGTTAAATAAAACCAGGATTTTGTCCAAAGCATCTGACCCTGTCTTCATGCCTATGCTTTACATTAGAAAGTTATTTCATGCAGTGATATCTAACAAAGGAGTGGTAAGAAAGTTGTGGTTTTCTGTAACTTCCCTTGCAAAGTTGTAGGAACAATTGACTACTTCATTACTTGATAGGATCCTGCATGATACTTTCCCTTTTCCTCCTTTGCCAAGCAGCTTATCAGGACTTCACAAAAATTGGAACTTGGATAATGACACATATTTTATTGGGAGTGTGTCTAGGTAGAGCACCTGTTCCCAGAAAGACTGAGGTGATAGCTGTCTTCATGTCCTTGAATATATTCTAGAAGAGGGAAGAAGCTGCTTCCGTAGCATTCCAAATGGCCGGATTTAGACCAAAGGGTTTAAGCAATAGAGATTTCAGCTCAATATAAGAGAGTTATCTTGTAGTGAAGGAGTATGCTCTAGGATTTTGCAAGCTTCTCCTCTGAGGGAATTTAAGAGAAGCTCCTATGGCCATTGTCAAGAATGTGGTCATATGACTTGCTGAGCGGAGGGCTGTCAAGGAAACATTATTTCCTTTTCTGGAGAGGCAGTGATGTGAGTGAAGAGAACACGAGACTGAGAAAAGAACCACCTTCTAGCCTTCATTGTTTATTTTGCTTTGTGATGTTAGACAACTTACTATAGCTTTTAATCAACAAAACAGAGTTAACACTATCTTCTGCTTTACTTTACTTTCAGGATTATTGTAGAGATGAAGGGACTATAAAGGAACTCTGGTGGCATATGGTTAAGGCATTGGGCTGCTAACCAAAAGGTCTGTGGTTTGAACCCACTAGCTGCTCTGCAGGAAAAAGATGAGGCAGTCTGCTTCCGCAAAGATTTGCAGTCTTGGAAGTCCCATGGAAGAGGCTTTCTGTTCTGTTCTGTAGGGTCCAGAATGGACTTGATGGCAGTTGGTTTGGTTTGATTTTTTCTTATAGTTGCTATAGTGTCACTATGAGTCAAACTTGCCTTGATGGCTTTGGTTTTTGGTACTTGGTGAAAGCCTAAAAAAAATTTAATTAGAAAACAAATGCATGCTTTTTGAAGAAATTTGACACACTAGAAAAGCATACAATATAAAAGTAAAAGTCCTCTTCTCCATTCCTTGTCCTACTCCCTAGGCATGTAAACAGGCCGATGTATGTTTGTGTTTCTAGACATGGAGGTACAATACATGGCATACAAATTATATATGTTAAACCTGAAGCAATTTTTTGTGGGACACACTCATTTTAGGAAACTCTGGTCCTTCCCTTGATATGGAGAAGGAAAATTAAAATTATTTCTAAGTAGTTTTTAAAATATAGATTTGTTAATAATAGTTAATATTTATGTACTTAAAATGTGTTGGGAACACTTCTTTTTGTCGTTACATGCTGTTGAGTCATCTCTGACTCATAGCAACTTTATGTACAGCAGAACGAAACACTGCCTGGGCCTGTGCCATCCTCATGATCCTTGCTATACCTGAGCCCACTGTTGCAGCTACTGTGTTAATCCATCTTGTTGAAGGCCTTCCCCTTTTTCGTTGACCCTCCACTTTACCAAACATGATATCCTTCTCCAGGAAATGGTCCCTTCTGACAACATGACCAAAGTAGGTGAGATGAAGTCTGGCCATTCTCGCTTCCAAGGAGCATTCTGGCTGCACTTCCTCCAGGACAGATTTGTTAGTTCTTTTAGCAGTCTTTGGTACTTTCAGCATTCTTCACCAGCCCCACAACTCAAAAGCATCAACTCTTTTTAGGTCTTCCATATTCATTGTCCAGCTTTCACATGTATGTGAGGTGATTGAAAATACCATGGTTTGGGTTAGGCACACCTTAGACTTCAAAGAGACATCTTTGCTCTTCAGCACTTGAGAGAGGACTTTTGTGGCAGATTTGCCCAATGCAATTTGTCGTCTGATGTCTTGACTGTTGCTTCCATTGGTGTTGATTATGGAACCAAATAACATGAAATTCTTGACAACTTCAGTCTTTTCTCCGTTTATTGTGATGCTGTTTATTGGCCCAGTTTTGAGAATTTTTGTTTTCTTTATGTTGAGGTGTAATCCATACTGCAGACTGTAGTGTTCAATCTTTATAGTAAGTGCTTCAAGTCATCCTCACTTTCAGCAAGCCAAGTTGGGTCATACGTGTATCACAGGTTGTTAGTGAGTCTTCCTCCAATCCTGATGCCACATTCTTCATATAATCCAGCTTCTTTGATTATTTGCTCAGCATACAAATTGAATAAGTATGGTGAAAGATTACAACCCTTATACATTACCTTCTTGATTTTAAACTATGGAGTATCCCCT